TTTTAAAATACGGGACTGAACTCCTATCTCAGATACAGCCCATGTTTTTTAAACCACCTGCAATTATTTCACACTTGTACAGAATTGCACACGTGCTAAGACTCAAATCTGTCATACCTGATCATCACAATGAATTAATATTGTTTGAATTTCTCATTAATACGGCAAATCACACAATTAATATACTGAAAAGTTATGTACACTGCTTACATGTAGAGACACGATACTCATGTATGGATTCAAATGAAAAAGATATTGCACCACATTTTTAATACATCGATTCTAAGTGCTTATTACAGTCAGGTTTCCTAAAGTCCAGTCTTGATTTCAGAACACTTCCTAGAGATTTTAACAGGGACATAACTGGAAATCTTAAAGTACCTGAGACAACCTCAGAAGCTTTGACATTTGTAGCAGATAATAGCTCAAATGTAAGGGTAAAAACTGATTATTCATTTTTGAAATATATACAGGAACCTTCCACATCAATCACACAATCCATCATATCTCCTACTGGACTCTTCATCTTCTTGTAAATATAGAGATTGAAAGAGATGAACCATCTTCATCAGATCCTTCCTCCACCACAAAATTACTACTGTCACTGGCACTGACACAAAAATTACTATCTCAGCTAGAATCCGTACAACTACTGAAAAAAGGTTACACTGCCCACCAAATACATATGCAACATGAAAGTTCAAAACCTATTCATAGGAAACGCGCGTCATTAACTGACTACCCATAAAAGTTGGCGAATCACTAATTCGTACAGCGAAGCAGTCAACGACACTGTACCACCTCAGCGCCGATTACCACGACCACACTCATCAATTTTTGGGTGACTCTTCACAAAGGGACAGGCGACACGCTGCACCACCACCCAGAATCTTTACGACACAACAGACGGCGCACAGTCTCCAAGTCCCCCTCAAATTTCAAATGGGGAAAAAACTGCACTGCTGCTTCTCAAAAAGTCCTTCCCATTTGGATGTTCATATCTGCAAGAGTCCAAAAAAAAAAGAATCTGAAACCAAACTGAGGAGGAACAACGCGCATTCCCCCCCCAGACTCACGGTGTTCACAAGGCAGGCACTGAGAAAAACCACAGCAGCAAGGCCACAACCTACGACCGCCTGCTCAGCTGTCCCTTCAACAACACTGGCCGTGGGTGAAGAGAACCCTAACTGCAAGCTTCCAGCAAGACTTCCTAGCAAATGAAAACTGAAAATAAGAGGCATATTTCACTGAGGGGAACCGTAAAAGAGAACTATATGGAACAGTATTTGTAAAACAGCACTTTCAAGCGTTCCTCAAAACCATAAAAATCTCCGAAAGTTTTTGCTTCTGAAAAACTGGAAGGAAAGAAAGGAGATTCAAGTCACAAAACAGGAATTTTGTACACCATGCAAAAGCAAACATGTCCTCAAAAATCTGAAATAGTTGTCAAATACAAGTCAAATATCTTCTTTTCCCCAGTAACAATGGAAAATTTGGAAGCTGACAATTTTAACATTAACCTCCTACATCAGAAAATAGATGGGGTATTTCCTAATGTTTTCCCAGAACAGAAAAAAAATCAAAATCACACCAAATATTGTAAATGTTGTATCACTGAGACCTTACGGTTTATGATGGTGCCCAATTATAGTTTAGTGACATTTTTTCAAGAAAATGAAAGACCTATTACAGATTTGCGACAAACACATGAACAGCAACCTGCAAAACATACACTGACTTCCCCAGCTGCCTTCCATACTGAAGTTTTGGCGTCTTATGTTTACCATATCAAACTTAGGGGCTTGCTTTGGTTCTCCTCAAGAATGAAATATTACTATATTTATTTTTACTATGCATAATCTTACTGCTACGTCACTAGAAAGGTAGAGACATAACATCTTCACATCAAGAAGTTCGAACCACCGGAAGCTGTTATACAGGCCAGTAAAGTTCTGCTGCTTGTCAGCTCGGCATAGCATGAGGCTTCCAGCGACCTTCCTTGTACCACGAATCCAATTTATGGAGATAGAAATCTCACATCTGTACCTCAACATATTGAGAGGTACATTACAGTGATATAAAAGTTTAATTTTCTCTCCTAAACCATACCTGTTTAAACCAATAAAGAACTAACACCGCTTTTACTCACTCAAGTGTCGTCAGCAGTTATAAAACGTTGTACTGTTTATGCAGAATTCATTTAGAATGCAAGGATGTGACTTACAAATGTCTTTGACTCATTCACATAAATATGCATGCATGCCATTTATAACAGTAGCCTTGATGAGAACACACAGTGTAACTGGCTGCAAGAAACGCTTAAGAGGTTTACATTAAAACAGAATATAGAACGGTGGTTAGAAATCACAGAACAGGTGACACCTTACTCTGATAACCTGGTGATAAAAACTGTAGGGTATGATGTATAGGTTGCGGCGTTACCACTTTACTATACAGCCTGAGCAGTGTTCTTCGGATACTGCGCAGTTTTAGCAAGACATAATACCCGAGGCAGACCACATATAAAAATGGTGATTAATCTCAAAGAAAATTGTGATTGCCTCCTAAATTGTTCACTTAAAAAACAAAGACACTCAGACTTTATTTTGTATTAGAATGTTTGTAACACAAACCTTTTAAAAGTATAATTACTTCTTGGTTTGACAGAGTAATTTGCTTTAACTATTAAAATACTGTCCTTATTGTAAGACTTACAATTGAGCAAAAATACCTAAAATGCAGCAATCAATGGACATACATAGAAAGTTCAGGCCATCTGAAGAATTCCTGTGATCACGGAATAATTTTCTGATAAGAATATTTATACGACTTCTAGACATCACTGTTGCTAACTCTGGAAATATATTGCTGTTACAGATCAGAAAATTGCATGTGCTGGCTGTTAAACAAAATAAAGCCAAAAGGGCTTTCAAGAATGCAAGAAAAATTATACTGCGAAGAACCTACAGTGGAAAATATGTAACTAAAATTCTGATTTCAATCTTAATTATTAAATTTATTTTTTTCCCCAGTAAATGATAATTATTAATCTGTTGCTCACGTACAGATAGATACCTGGTCCCACATGAAGTCCTATGAAGACAGAAAGACATCCACAAAATTGACAAACACAAGTTCCATTGCATGACTGTTTCCACAGCACTTGCCTAAAACCAATTCTTGTTCACAAATCGTCTGTCCAAGCACCTATTTAAATAGCTCCACGTTTTTTAAAATCTCTATACGAAGGTACAGATGAAAAGCTACCGACAAAAGATGCTACCAAATAATATTTCTATTCAATGTAGTGCAGAAGAATGCCTAATTGTCTAATGAACTAACGGAAACATCAGAGAGGACAATTCCACGTGGCCTTCATCCGTTGCTCAGGCCACAGAAGACTTCCCACCACACGGCCAGCTGCTGGAGCCAACCAGCTACTTTACAGACAGCTTCCATGAACTACGAGAATTATTCCAGAATGCTTCTAGCACCATATAATTGCATCCACCCTATACACTGCCAAATCAGCTCAAGCTGCTAAGGCCACTCTTCTAGCAGTAACTGAAGTACTGTTATACAGAAGAAAACCAGAATCTATCGTACAGACAAGACGATAATGTCCAACAGCGTACCATAACCCAAAATTTCTTAAGAGTAGCACACATGTAAAGAGCAGAACTTGTCCACCAACAAAGACCGAGGCAGGTAAGACTTTGCACTGGTATTTAAATGAATGATATACACATTCATCACGCAGACAACAAAATGGCCTCACTAGGCAATACTACTTTTTTTAGAGCTAATGTTTACTGCAGACCTACAGGTTACTACATTAAAAACCCACATAGAGCAGATGGAAAGGCTGCTTGCCAGCAAAAGAAAAGATTAAAAGAAATCCTCAGCTTCTTAAAAGCCAGTTGAACTGTTGTAAGCAACTGAAAATTTAAAACCACCCACCCTCTGCACATACATTCTCGATGGTCCCCAAAAGCACCCACCACCAACTCTTCTGCTAGAACTACGATCCCCAGCACACCTCAGGAGGCACGCCCAGGACCGCATCATCATCCCCCACAGTTCAAGCAAAGGGGCTGAAGTGGCTGTTGTTTTATGCTGGAATCGAAAAGGGTTTTTCGTTTTAATTACTTTCTAGGGCTCAAGTAGTGGAGAACACACAGCTGCTGTTCCAGGTGTCAGAATGTAAAAATGCAGTCTGTGTATGGCTCAGTGTAGCAGGGCTTCATGGTACCTTTTCTGAGGTTCAACTCATATGTAGAAGCTTGTGGTCTACACAGATACACAGAATGATGCCAAGAGAATAAGGACACGATTTCACATCAGTTGTCCTGTTTGTATAAGTCTGTGATGTAAAAGAGGTGAAAGAATTACTTTTTTTTTTAACATTTAATAATAAACTGGACACATGGCACAATTTTGCTTCTTTCAGAAAAATCCAGTTCATTATTAAATATCTACCTACAAATGGTACACATGCTCTCAGCATTAATTAGTAACACAAATTGAAAACACATATCTTTCTGTAACTTCAGAAAGACGAAACCATAAATGTTCTCAACCTACCAAAATGCAGTCATCCTTTCGGACAGACATTGCTCCACGTCTCCTCTGTCAGTTTTAAAAAGGGACGGCTACGTATGAGTTAAATTCTCTCTTTCTCATTTCGTAGTACTTATAACCTTAGGCAGCCACCACAACAGCCAGCTATTACAAGCTGCATTGGCAATACAATGAAAACTGTTTCAAAGTATTACAGTAGCATAATTTCCAACAATTTTTTCTTTTTTCCTTTGTTGTGGGTTTTTTTGTTGGTTTTTTTTTTTTTGTGAAGGGGGAATTCCACAGTGAATGCAAACGTAAAGCAAATAAAACCAACATGAAACTGTTAACAGGACGCTTCCTATTGAATGATCTCTATCAGCATTAGGTTATTGAGGACTTCCTTTTCGGAAGATACAGATCAGAAAAGTGAAGCTTACCTGCAGAAGCACTGTGGGATCTCTCCCTGACCATACAGAGGAAACAAAAATGGTGTATTGCCATAGCGGCCAAGGCACTGCAGGAATTTTTTCGTTGCCTGAAGACCTTCAAGAGTGCTGCAGTCGGTCTCTGAAACCATTGCGATAGAGTGAAGAATGAAGTGCTGCAAGCTGGGTGTTAACTTCCGTGTTCTTAAAAACTGAGCAAACGTACTGGTTTCGTAATCTGAGGAAAAAGCACATTTAGGTAAAGGGTTTAGTATAACATTTGTATTTTCTCATACGCTTCAACTTAAACAAGTACTTTTGCATTTAAATAAACAAAAGCAATTGAGTTTTTCAACAAACATAATGCTGAAAATGGATAATCCAAGTTAATGAAAGTTAAAAAATTTACTCCCACAGAGTGAGTTTTCTCAGAAGTCAGAAATATCATTCCACTAAAATACTTCAAAAACATGCAAACCAATTGTACGGTCCTCCAACAACAGTCCAGAAAGCAAACTCTAAATATGGCTTCATCTAGTCATTATGCTAGATTTGATCTAAATCCATCTCAATCATGTGAGAAAAGTAAGCAGTTGTGGACAAAAATCCACTGAAGTGTCTTGGGACGCTGTTTACTGTAAAGTACCCCAAACATTATACCTGAATAACACTCATTCCAGAATAATACTGCTGAATCCATACTAATACGGTTAGAGTGCATATTTATACACAAAGAAGCATTCACACAGTTTCTTATTCCAAAGATGAGAAGGAACAATGCAATATTTATTTCAAATTGATGACTTGCTCACCACAAATAAGTATGGATGAGACACAAAGGGGACAGGGATGAAGAAGCAAACCTCCCTTTAGAATTAACACTATTGCTGACACAATTTGAAATTCAAAGAAACACAAGTCTTTCAGGAGATGTTTAACCCAAGTGGTGCATGTCACTGATACACCTGTGAAAAACTTTCATTATATTAATAACAAAATGGCTTTTTTTCCCAGGAAAAGACTGTATTTAAGCAAAAGCATACTTTCACACTACTCAGAAATTTGCTCTTAAGCTTATCTCAGTCATGGATAAACTCATAAGTAATTCAGAAATTCTTCCATCAGTGCTGAGACTAGTATTATCAGGTTATATATTCTGCTTGAGATTCAACCACTGTTTTATTACAAATGTATCTTACTACCCTTTGTACGTCCATGCAGCAAATCATAAAATGACATGGTTTTCTTGTTTTATCATTCTAAAAAAATTCTCAAGTTTTTCCTCACTTCAGACTTCTTACATAACTGAAAATTTTAAAGCAAAAAAACTTTTTTAAAAAAATTTTCATGATCATGAACTCTCCCTGTTCAAAGTCTGCCTTCCCACGAATGTAATGATCTTACCAAGAGCAATCTTAAATTTCTGAAGTCTTTACAGTAGACTAATCTGACTCAAAATATTCCCAATCACTTCCCAGTGTTCCCACTTCTCATTTTAAAATGTAGGAAGAAAATCTGTTTAACTATCTCTGGAAGTAAAATAAATCTAATGTCATTCAGGTATATGAATCAATGGATTCATTTAAAATTGATGTGGCGTCTCCTTTTTTTTACTTTATACATTTTCTAAATATCACATATCTTCTCATTCTGAGCACCTACATTTCTTCCAGCAGCAGCAAACCTGAAATTACCTGTAATCTATAAACCACTTCAGTCTAACCACTTTTTCCCCCTTCAGGATTTTCTGGAGTGCGTTACAGACTCTCTTTCTCCTCATCTTACCAGATCATTCTCAATACTGACCAGTTCCTCTCTTGCATATGTTTAAGATAATTTTCTCTATTGTTTCTACCTAATCTAAGGGTTCTGTGCAAGTAATCAAACCAGTATCTTAACAATTGTTTCTTTTAAACACTAGATTCTTTCAAAAATACTGCCTAGCCAAGCTACTACCAAGCTATAAAAGCACCAATATGCTTCAGTCTGAAACCTACATTAATAGTTTAACTGTTCCTCTTTCCTCATTATTTCCTTTTGACAGATTTTTCTTTTTTTGCCTTAGTTTACTTTTAGACTCCAAGAACTGAGAACGTCACTTCATTCTTTGTACCCTGAGGCGCATAAACCCAAAGCAGACAGTGGGTTTCCATCACCTTCCCTCTGTTCGCCAATGTTCCTCTTTGACCTGATGCTCATTATTCTTTGCACATTATGGATCAAATCTATTCACATTTTCTCTCAGCTAAATAAGCCAACAGTTGATACAGGTACTTCAGACTTGCCCTCTGCAACTGAAAGGCATTAGATCAGATTTACTTGCAAAGTTAAAAAAATCCCTTTTTCTCCATTTTTGATTTTGTGGCAACATATTGTGCAGATTTACACATTACTCAAAAAAAAAACCAAAAACAAAAAAGAAAAGAAAAATCAGGTACATCACATTAAAAAATCCCTGGGCGGGGGGAGGAAACACCTAGAAATTATAAAAACCAATTTGCAACCATGCCATAAAGAAAAATGTAAATAATAAATGATGTGGGAACTAGAAAAGCAAGTGCTTAAGTAGAAGAATTTAACATTGAAAAGGTCACCAAAAGGTCAAAGCATACTTTCAAAATGAATCCATAAAAACAAATTGCATGAAAACACTGGAGAGCTATCAAAATTGTGCATAACTGAATGAACTCCTAAGAAGAGAGTGTACACTGTTCAATGAAACACTACCTTGGTATTCATCAGGGTGTTGTTCATAGTCCAAACAAAATGTCAAAAATTTCATTAGCATTCTCTTTTCCACCATAGTGAGCTGTCTGCTGTTGAAGACATCTGCTCTAGAACAAGGTACCTGGAAAATATTTTTAATAATTTCAGATACTTTCCATACTCTGGATATGAAAAGCATCAATCACAGAATCACAGAATGGCAGGGGCTGAAAGGGACCTCTGTGGGTCACCCAGTTCAACCCCCCTGCCGAAGCAGGGTCACCCAGAGCCGGCTGCACAGCACCGCGTCCAGGCGGGTCTTGAATATCTCCAGAGAAGGAGACTTGTCTGATTACCTAACAAATATTTTAAATCACTATTTTCTATTATATTTTGTCATCTATTTATTTCCATTATTTTTTATTATTACTATAATAAAAGTTACCAATTTTCCACAATCAAAATATTTTTAAATCTTTCTCAGCCTCTTCCCCTTTTTATTTCCCTTCGATTTCACTTGCATCTCTGACTGCAGAGTTAATCAAAAGAGTTTGTACTAATGAACTGTGCCAAAAATCTCCTGTTGCCAGTATTAGACCAATGACTCCTCTTGTAAGTAGCAGAGAGACAAATCAAGTCTGTGCCAGGAATCTGAAAACCTAAAACCTGTGAATCTTTAAGAACTAACTGCCAAGTTGATCATGGTCTAATATTTATCATGAGGCACAGATTTATATCAAGAATTTACTGGACTCCATATTCTTACTTCAGCTTTTTTAAAAAAAAAAATATTTATACGTAACACATACATATGCCTTTTCATTCCAGAACTGAAATAAAAATCTGAATATTAAGGAAAAATACTAGTTTATCGTTACCAAACTCTCAAGAAACCGATCTCAAGGTTTTTGAACTTCAAAAAGATGAGATTAAACATATGCAACATTATTTTACCTTACCTGTTCTACTTTTCCTTCTCGAAAGGCAAGAATTCGTGTCGCATTTTTGAACTCTGCGTATCTGCTAACGTTCGATTTGATCAGCAGGTCAATTAACAGACCTCGGGAGTAAAGCAACTGCACAGTGAAGAGAAAAAGAAAAAGTGAGTAAAGAGAAAGCGCTTTACACCAAAAGAAAACAATGATACCAACAGTATTCATTTGTGTTTTCTCTAACTATTTACCAGTACACAAAGTAAAACCTGAATAAAAGATATCAAGATGTAGTATGTGCAGAATAGTATGAAATGCACTGAAACACAAACGGAGGAGACAAAGCAGTCCACAGGAAAGAGAAGTGAGAGCACAGGAGAGAAAGGGAGAAGCTGTCAGCCTGCTGCTCATTTTGTTTTCTTAGCCTGAGAGTCACAGCTTGAGATAATTTTTTGTATTGTCATCTTCGATAATCTCTTTATACTGTATGCTACATAGCCTTGAACACTGTATTTTATAACCTTCGTTTCCTAATATCAGTAAAGTACATGACACTGTCTGTGTAAATCATCACTAGTTGTTTCTTAAATTACCCGAATCGACAATGCCCCATCTTCTAAATGTAAATTCCTTAAACCCTCAGTTAAGGCTGAGTCATATTCTGTTATGTTAATTTATAATCTGTCTACCTTTACTCTTTCTATAAGCTGCAAATACACTACAAAATACTGAAGGGACAGAAATGGAACTATTACCAGAAGACATAAGTCGGAATTGAAAAGCACTGGAGATTAGTTTAAACACGCTTCAAGTTCTGTGGTGCTGCGAAGCAGAATTTGCATGACCACACAGGAGTTTTCAAGCTGGAGCTTTACTGGAACACCAACTAGGACACTACGAGAAAGTCTGTGTCCCAGTGCCACAGAGAAACCAAGGCAAACTGCTAGTCTTGCCCTGAATTCTGCCAGAATTTCGGGGATTCACCGCAATTAACACCATGTAACACAGTGGCTTGAAAAAGTATAAAAAGAATACAAAATAGCATTATCTGCCTAATCACTCTACACCGACGATGGTTCTCGTTATGTCATTCCAATGACATATGAAAGAGGTATCTACATTTGGAACACAGAGACAAAATTTGAAATAATGCATTTTGTAGTGTCTCCACAAAGAATTTAATAAATTATTGAAGATAGGGTTTTTTTCCCATTTCCAGATGTTTGAAACATCTATTCATGCAGAATATGAAAAATTAAGCATTCAACTTCGAAAAAACTTCCCAGAGTACACATATAGTCTAAAGCACAGAAGTTACGAAAAATTTCCATTTAACTTGAATTTGCAGGGCCATATCCATATACTGTGAAGTATGTATAAGGCAGATTTTAGAGTTTATACAGTATGACATATACGTCAGGCTAATAGTTTTTCCTCTAAGTAAAACACAGACTAGTAGGAATTCAACACAAGTATAAATAACTTTAGTCAGCTTGTATGGTATGGATTAACTGTAATGATTTCTGTTTTCCAATAAAATTTATTACAGCTCAGTGCTTTAGCTGCCAGAGAACCAAAACCAGTATAGTGCGACAATGAGAGCTTCACAGGAAAATCTAAAACCCAGGAAGCACTACAATAGGAAAATTATCTTTCATTTTAAATACATCAAAGATCTGCATGTAGACTGATTGTCCTTGTTTAAAAATTAAAATTTTTTAAATGGTACTATTTAAGTAATATATGTAAAATTGCTCTGTTTAAGTGTTAAATTTCAGGAAATTTACTTCTATAGACATATTTCTGAGCTTTGCTTCATGGTCTCTTTGGCTGTAAACAAACACTAAAGAGCACGTATGAAATAGCTCCTTTAAGGGTACTAATTCTTGCTTACTTCTCAAGAGTGTTTTTTTTGCCTCAAAGGTACTGTGTCAGCCATCCTCAACATGAAAGACTTTAAAATAAATTCAGCTTTTTAAGCAAAGTAAACACACTTCTATGGAAAGAGACATTCAGTTCCTACCTTGGAAACTAAATCAATGTTAAACCTTCTGCCTTCTCTAACAATTTGGGAATATGTAATTTTCTTTGGTTCTCCGGCAGACGTTTCGGCGGGTGCAGCTTCAGTGTTTCCCGACTGCAGAGCGGACTCGCCTAACGCCGTGTTATGAGAACTCTCGCTCTCAGAGGTTATTTCTGTATCACCCCCTTCCACTGCACTCGCTGGCTCCCGCGCCGCAGCCCTTTCTTGGTCCCCGCCCCCCCCCAAAGGGTGCGCTCTGCTGGCGGGCACTCTTCTTCCGATTCCTGAGCAGCCCCCTCGGTACCGGAGGCTCCAAAGACAGGCAGCTTTGGCAATGCACCAGCCTCTTCAACATCTTCAGCTGAATCCTGACTGATCAAAAACACAAGGGAAAGAAGCGGGTGAAAAAGTGTTTTAAAGAGTCTTAAAAACCTGTTTAAAAGTTTTGAGTCAGTGCCAGAATGGAAACCTCAAGTGTTTCTACTAAAAGCATAATATTTGTTTATCCTGGACAAATCAGGTGTACCTCCCGCTAAAGAATTCTGGTTCTTTGACTGCAAAGCTAGAACTCAAGAGAAGTATTTTTAACGAGGATGAAAAAAAAAACCTAAAATTGGGGGTTTTATTTTACATGGACTCAAAAGATGGAATGAGCTTAAAACGAAAATCAAAACTCTCACAGTGAAGCACAATACACAGCTACACAAACAAAAGAAATACAATATTTTTAAAAGGAAACAGTAAAGCAATTTCATTAGGTTTTTCCTAGTGATTAAAAAACCCCTTTAAAATAGAAATGCAAAAATGCATCAAAGTCATTAAGCTCAGGCATTTTAAAAACCAAACTCAGTGAAGAAAAGAGAAGTGCTTTATACAACCGAGACTACTTTGCATCTATTATTATAGCAAGCCCATCAGAGAAGCTTGCAATTTTGGCCTGAAGTTTAAGCAAAACTTTCAGATTACTTTTTCAACTCTGACCTTGCATTCTAATCAGTTGTTCAAATAACAGCCATACAGAACGTTCCCTCATGTCGCAATGTTATTTTCGTGCGAGCGCTACAAATCTGTGCACAGCAGAGGAAGGCAGCCAGTCAAAAGGAGGGACATGGCCACCCAACATTTGCTCTGTATCGCCCATTTCCTTTTCACAACACTGATCTTTAAAATTCCTCTAATAAAGCAGATGTCCACTTTTAATCTCATCTACTCTTTTTATCTTGAACTTTAATGACCTTAGAAACTAGTGCTTTTGAACTCAGAATTTCAGTTTATACTACCAGCTGAGACAAATCACATCAATGTCACTGTAAGCGAAAGGAGTTCAGCAATAATTTCACACAATCTTTTTATCTTTATACCATAAGCCATTAAAATGCACTGAATAAACAGTTTAATCTTGGCTGAAAACTAATGAACTATTATTTTAAAGGTGACCTGCAAACGTACAGTACAAAATTTCAGTAACTAACAGGATGGTTAAAATTCACTGAACAGCAAGGGATTATTCAGCATACACACCAAAATGCTCCCTCACACATCTGTAGCCTTACAGATGGAAGCAGGGGGCAAGATTTCTCTTAAAAGAGGGAACAAACCCCCTGTATCCTTTAAAAGTCGCTCCTCACTTATAAACTCCGGGAGCTCCCGCGGGCTCATGAAAATCGAAGTTTGGAAGAAGTCTCTCGGGTTGTGCACAGCCACCAGGCAGCACTTCCTCACGAACGGGGTGAAACACTGCCCTGGCAAACACCGGCACTGCTACACGCAAACACTAATGAAAGAAGTCTGTTTCTGTACGTTAATTATGTCTTTTTGCTTCATATTGCAAGCATTGAATAACTATAAAACATCAAAGAAAGGTAAGTACTTTGTCAAATATTTTTTAAAAAGTAATCTCCACTCAAAATACAAATGAAAGTCAATTAAATTTTGGGGTTCTGTTTGGATCTAGAGGTTTGTTTTAGGAATGTGGAACACGATGTTTGTGAAAACTGCAAAAGCTGTTGCCATTAACACAACAAGTAAGAATGAAGCCTTTCTTTAAACCACCCTAAGGCTTTTTATAACAGAAAAATTCAGAGGCAAGTTTTATTTCTGTCTTCGCTGAAGCTCAATGTACAGTTCAATCTCATTTTAATCATACTTGATTATTACTTTGTAAATCAAAATAAAATTTGGATTCACAGCACCTTGTCTTTTTTCTAAATCACTCTGAAAAGCAGTGTAACAGAAATGTTGTACTTACATATTTTAAATCTCTGTTCAATTCCCATTAATGAATACGTAAATCTGCGTGATTTGCAGCTCTACACATCTTATAATGAAAGCCTAAAAACTGTATATAATCTAAATTCATTACATCCTTCCTATAGGAACAAATATCTCTGAATAATGTAAGAACTGTCTATAAAAATCACTCAAATTGAACTTCTGTACAGACAATTCTTCTCCTAATTTAGAAAAAAATAATACATCTGCAGACAAATTGTTGTGTAAATTTCAAATATTATCTTCCACCATTCATCAATTAATGGTACCAACAAAGGAATACCTTAAAATGAATGTGTCTTATTAATGCCTTGTAACAGCAACCCCTTCAGATAGGTCAAATGAAAAATTGCCAACCAGCTGGTTAATTTATTCAGCACAGGTGTTCACTATTTATTTTTCAGCCATTTGCCTTTTTTCAATACAGCTTGTTGTAGACACAGTATTCTTTTCCTTTGATGGATGCACTTTGTTCTAAGGCCATTCATTTCAGATTTGCACTGTGTATATTATACTGCTACCCAGCTGTTTATTCTTTCAAAATAAATGTTTAATGGTTACTTCATAGAGTTATAAAAGTTAAGCAAAAACAACAGAATCTAGCCAGAATGTGTAAATTCTCAGAAACACAGTAACTGACTCTCTCAGAAAGTTTTAAGTTCTGTAAAACTTCTTTGCTAGATTTATTAACCTTACCATTCTTCCATGTGGGTTTTGGGTTTTTATTGGTGATAACCAAGAAAGACAGCACTGCACTGCCACGCTAAGTTAAATGCTTAAACGTACAATCTTGTCCTGACTCAAGTATAATGCTCACTTCTACATGTGAAATCTTAGTGCTGGGGAACTCATTTTTGAGCTGGCCAGCAGTCAATATCACATCTTCTTAGGAAAATCATATGCAAAGTTAAGAGGCTATGAAACCTTTACTCTAACACTGGTTCCGAACAATATTTATTATGGCAACGGGATTACAATTACAATATTCAACTGATACCGCTTTAAAACAAGCATAACATATTATCTGCCGTACAGTCAAGCAGCCATTACTGTGCAATACAGAAGTTCGGAATATTCTGAATCTCTGACCTTCAGACTGTATTACTCTAATTTACACCTTTTTCTTTTCCCCTACTATGATGTTTACAGAACAAAAATACATGTTTCTATGTGAGTATCTGTCAACGTTTTCTTCAGCTACCTATTACATTATCTATGGGATTCAAGGTTAAACTTACATAACTATCCCAAAGAACCTTTCAGGAATTCAGAACAGTGTTCAGTTCAGTGCAAAATCCAAAAGATAAAAATGATAAACAAATGCAAAGAAATAGTTCAGTTGTCAATTGAGGCCCATACAATGTCCATTCATTATTAGTATGTTTATGCACTACTCAGCATTACTGCTTCACAAGGTCACTTTTAGATGTTCCTTGATTTTCAATACTATGACATCATGAAAAGCTCACCTTCTGCATGACTCACATGTAACAAAGTACCATATTTCCACCTAAAAATCTAAACAAAAAATGAACTTTGTATTCTTAACTTCTGCTAATACAGACATACTTCTACAAATACTTAATGAAAAGATATTTACTGCATACTCAGTCCTAAGAGTATGTGCTTATGCAACAAATATTCACAGAAGTAAATGTGTGTATTTCAAACTAAGCATGTATTTTTTGCACACTGTATGTAAAGTAAAAGCTCAGTGACATTACTTTAAAAATAGAAAGAAGGCAACAGCCCAAAAAGGCTAACTGGTAGTGTATTACAAGGAGCCTCTGACCACACCAATTCCTTCCAAAGCATCATAAGTAAGCTCTGTTTAATGAATAAGTTAGATCTATCATTTTGGCACAATAAAGTATTTCACAGTTACCGTACCACTGCCCATTTGCATTCCTATTCTCGTGTACTTCTTTCATTTTACATGCCTTCAAGGTTTTAACTTTATACTGCGAGAATAGCAGCTTTTAGCCAAATTAAGAATGGAAAATTTAATAGATGGTAGTGCATAACTACCTACTACTAACAATGCCTACACACTCAACACTTCTGTTTTCTGTTCAGAAGTAAATTAGCAACTCAAAGTTGGCCAACAAATTGTATTGTATCCAGATAAGGTAATTTAAGAAGGAACAGTTAGCTTCAACGCAGTGCCAGTGATTTCAACAAAAGCACAGGGACATTGAGAACATTTCAGAGCTCATGGTTACTTTTTGAGACTATATGGCAGCATGGTGAAATGCTTGAGGCTGAAAGCACAATATGATTACTCACCTCTGGGCATATAAAATTATTTGTATATTTCTATATTCATACTTACTCGCCAAAGCAGAAATCTTCTACATGCTGAATAGTTTTATTGTTCTTGCTAAGAGAAATAGCTTCTTCATTCTCAAGGATCAGTTTTCTCCAGTCTTCACATTCATCAGTGATATCCGTCTTTTGCTTACAAAGAACATTATAAAATTACATTTTGTACTGTGCCAGCTGCTCTTGAGCTATAAATCTCTACAGTCCCAAATAATTTGTTGTACCACCTTATATTTAAAAGAAAAAGAATCATCTTAACTGTCTTAATGTTTTTTCTGTTCAGATTTTCTGAGTTAAAATGGTTAGAGCTGGTTACTTTATTATAGCATGCCAACATTTGCACTACATTACTAGCTCTAGTAATCTGAAAATACAGCGTTAAATGAAATACAAGTTTGATTAGAGAGTCAAAAATAACTTAGAATACAATCTACTAAAAGACAGGTTTGCCACAGCTAGGTTAGTTCCAAATTTTGCGACAAAACTCTTCGAATGGAGACTGTATGAAAAAACACAGTGATTTGTGTATTAATCTGTCCACACAGGAATCTCTAAATCATAGAACAGGACCCTGAGAATATGAAGTTCTGACACTGAGCAACTCCTCTGATTAAGCCAGACGGTAGCACTATGTAATAAATAGGCATGAGACTGAACTGAAAAAGTCCCATCTTCTACGGACCAACAGGCTTACAGTGCTTCGGTAAAGAATACGAACATCCATTTGCTGATATAGTCCAAGTGCTCAATCTCCTAAATAAATATCCTCTTCAGAAGATTTCTGGTGGACAGTCGTGAATTAGTGTATTTTTCAATGACCAAAGTTTGTCTATCAACATTAATCTTGTTGTCCTGGTTACGGGACACTTCAATGGAAGGATCCAATAACTACCTTTCTCCCAGTTAAGAAAAATCAGCTGAAAGCATAAGAGAAAAACAAAAGGGGCTGAGACATCAGAGAGTGGAAAATAATCAAACAGGAAATGGAAAAGACCAGAGTATCATTTACAGAAGATGCTGGGAACGGAGTCGAAACAATACTGTAGCTGTCTCTACATAACTTCAAGAACCCAAGAAGTCTGACTGAGCACTAGACTGTTTGGTCTCAGATAATCATATTAATAACCCAGGGATATCAGAGTCTTGGAATGCTAAGCCAGATGGGTAAGTCTTCACCATTACAGGTGGAAAGTAGAAACCTCTTTGATCTGTCAAATTACCAAAGAAAAAGAGCATTGTGATAATTTGTCTTCTAATAAGTTATGCAAACAACCCAGATTCAATGTTAAATTATGTTGAAAAAGTAATTTCAGAAATTTTTACCTGGTTTTCTTTAATCCAGGAAAGTAACCCTGAAAAACTAAAGCTGGCCCAGTTTCCACCATAGTAATTTCTCCTGCAAAGAAAAAACAACAATGAAACTTCATAGACAGATAAAACATACCTTCTTCAGGTTTAAAGAAAACTCCATCAAGTTTGAGATGCTCAAAATATTTTCCATGGCAGATCTTACAGATGCAGAATATGAAAACAGGTGTAATATTTCACAACTCTTAATGAGACGCAAAATTCCCATTTTCACTCATTTGTATGCATCTCTTACTAAACAGACTATAGTTCAAAATGAAATTATTTGGAGGGTAAAACGAATAATGCTGAGAAAAGCACACGGGATGCTGTGAGTAAAAGGAAAATACAAGTAATGCCTCAGCCAGGACTGACTCTACACCTGTAACTCCAACCTGAGCACCGCTATAGACCTCCTCACTCAGCATGGAGCCAAGCCAACAAGTCTGCCCCTTTCACCTGAGCTTTCAGCAAAGCCAGTTCAGGCTTTTTGCATCCGTAGCAAACTCCACAGTTTCAGGTTCTGGCAGGACCTAACAGCTTTGTCCCACGGGCACAGCTGTACTGCTGCTGCCCGAAGCTGGTCTGGAAGGTAACATCACTGCATCGCACGCCACTTCCGAACCAACAGTGCTTCACGAGCTGGCTACGCAAAGGAGAGTTAAGTAAACTCCAATGGGGTCCAGACAGTAGAAACCACATCTCTCTTCTCCATTCTGTCAAATAAAGGAAAGTTCGCTCTATTGTTTATCTGCTGCTTACAGAACAGATCGTGCTTACTATAGACTGTTCAGATGCTCCGGCAAAACTCTGCTTAAACTGCATATACTGTAGGTGGAGCCAAAGGAACTGATTTGTGCTGAATGATCGTACCTCCCTGAATACTTCTCAGTTTATATTTACCACCTCCTGCCTTGAAAACATTAGTTTACTACTTTTAAATCACAGACAATTAATAGTTCTGCTGCTAATCAAAGGAAGTCTCTGCTCTCCCTTTTTTAAAATTTCCAATCATTATTTCTCTAAACATCAACTGGATTAATCAGCTTTTTTTATCATGCATACCACATCTTAAATATTTAACAACTTTGACTGGAAAAATAATACAACAATCACATTTTAAAGAATCACTAGCTTTTGCAAAATAAAAAAGTCATTTCAGGAATTTAACTCTGTTTTCTGGCAGTGTACGCTGGCACTTCAGAAGCGTGAAAGGTGACAAAAATACCCTCCTCAATGGAGATATAATCTTATTACATACACTAAAAAAAAAAATTGGGGAGGAAGATGGGGTTTGCATTTTACAAAATAATGCAAAGACTGCTGAATCAAATGAACCTCAAGTCTTTTAATAACCTCTTCCACTTTTCAATTGTAGAGATAAGGGGGATGAAAGCGAAAAACTAAATTCAGGTTTGATTCTACTGTTTAAGATGGGATAGTTTTGACAAGGCTTATCTGCCCTGACAAAGACTTCATCGGGAGTGTCAGCCCCTTCACGGCACCAGAGGGTGATGCGCTACGCTATGTTGCTTACTTAGCATATGAAGGACAGATGTCTGCTACACAACGCCTAATCGCTCCTGACTAGAAACTGACCCAAAAAAGTCTTTCAGCTACTGCCAGGCGACAGTGAGGAACATAAATAGGACATCCTGTGCACAGGCAACAAAATCCAGCGTTCACTGAATACAGGCAGCTTCCACAACAGAACCGGGTGTTTCAGGCCATGAACCGGGAGGACTGGGTCTGTACTTCGGGAGAACACATTGTCTACCCTGCAATTCAGTTACTCTTAGACAGAAGAGCTCCATCTGCAGATCTGTTACCAACCAGAAACTCCAATCATCTGTAAAATACTTACATACTTACCCCATGATGTGCATGACACGGGTGAGGCTTAACAAGTACTGCTATTTGGTATCATACAGAATGCAAAGCAATGAGGATTAAACACATTAAATGCCTGATTCCGTCAGATTTCAATCCGCAGAACAGCAACTGATAGTTGCATGCAATGATAACCTCCAGCTTTGCTTTAGCTGTCAATGGCGTGGGTTAATTTCTTGCTTCTTCTTAAGATTCCGCTGAATAAAAAGTTCAATATCCATATATTACCTGCCACTTCTGGGATTTCCAAAAACACAGCCATGAAGATTTATTTCTAAGGGAATCTGCTGCTTTAGTTGCAAGTTTCCTTGAATATGGAATACAATCTGGCTGTCAGAGCAAGCAAGGCCATCGATCACACAAATCGCAGAAAACACCTGTCTAAAATTAGGACTGGGTTTCTTGAATCCATACCAATATAAGTTCATGCATATTTAGAATATTCAAAATTAAAACATTCAGTCAGATAAATGAGTATGTTATTTTCACAGAAAGTTGCAAAGGTTTATTTGTGAGCTGTCAAACATCTTTGATGTAAACATTCCTCTGTTCATCAGGTGGATTTTCCTTTGAAACCACTTTTCTTTTTAACCACCATTGATGTGAATCAATCTTTTCAACAAAGCACTCTATAAGGCTGTTCTGAAGCTCAATCAGTTTTGAGAAGACAGTACGGCCTTTCTCAAATGGAAAATGAATCGCAGCTGTCCTTCCTTTCCTCTGGCTCCTGAGCACCTTGCCCAAGTTAGCCCTTCCCCACCTCAAATATTCATCTTCTCTTGAAGCATCAACTTACAGATTTTTCTTCCCCAGAATTTCAATTAGTTCACCCTGCATTACATGATGAATCAGGATTGCTTAATTTTCTCATCTGAAAACACTGCAAAAAGAAGGTAAACCAGACATGATTACTGACACAAAGAGCAAAGTTTTAGTAAAGATCTTGAAGAGGAATTCTGAGAAGAGCTGACTAATGGTTTTACAATTAGGAGACCTTTGTAACCACATATTTTTGTTATAATTGCCCTGAAGATGAACCAAAGAATTAGTTAAAGTAATGGTCAAGATCAAAGCCTAATTAAAGCTAAAATATTGTCCCAAAATCTCTAGGACTAAGCTCCTCCTCTTCTTGCTATATTAGCAAACTACAGAGATGGATATTCTCTCTCTTTTTGAGCATTATAATTCAATTATCTTCTAAGTAAGAACATGAAACATCTTGAAGGTGTAACAGCAGAGTTAGAAATTAATTTTTCTGCCAAGTCAGATAGGGCACAGATGTTTTCTTTCTCTACCATACATCATTTCCTGGGTGATATCTGCTCCAAACTTCTCCTGTTTTACCTAGATTTTCACATGAATTAAAATACTTCCTCTTTTGGTTCACATTTTTCAAACCTCGCATCTGTACTTCAGAGCTAACAGCAGCACTGCTAGAGCCATTTTTCTGAGGTTTTGGAAATGTAGCCCAAGCACAGCTTTACCTTTGCAAAAAGCTTGATTCTCTCTTCTCCTACATTAGTTTGCAATTTTTTTTCTCAGTTACTAACACCATTTTTTCTTCAAATACTTTGAAAGAATTAGCAAATCTGGGTCCAGAACACTGAAACTGCAAATTGTTTCCAACTAATTAACTTTCTTCGAATCCAAACCAAGAGAATATGTAACATGCCTTTTTGAAGACAGACTGCAATTTGAGAAACCGAACACTTCTGAAAGCATGAGATACACAAGTAAAACATACATAAGAACAGAGAAAGTATTGCATGGACCGGGCCTGTGAAGCAGACTGCCCTTTTCCGTGCCACGTCGTAACAGCCATGGTGTAACAGTCAAAGCTGGTGATGTCTAGGAAAAAAAGCTGCTGATGCCTCACGACTGCTCCCAAGAGCTGCCTGTATGTATCTGTCCCGCATTTGATTTTCAGAAGGAAGTCTCGAACCATCAGAGCAGCTGTCTTTTGCGAAAGAAGTTACTGCCACATTGATTTTAAGGATCTGAACACAAAACGACTGAGGTTTCAAACCCACAAAGTTTCCCGTGCTACCTATTAAGTACACAGTCACATGTATTAAAAAATTCCCATTCTGGCCTAGTAATTGTGTTTTGGAGCATGAGGAGTGGATTCCACTTCCCTGCCTTCCATGAGGAAGGGTTTAACCCAAACAGCTTTTGAGATCCTTCGGCTCACTGGAGGGGAGATGGTGGCAGTCACTTGTACCACATGACATTATATCCTGGGATATGAACATGGCCTAAGGTCATTAGCATGGACCAGTTGAGACCATGTTTTGCTCTCTAACACCTTTGCTACAAGATCAGATCCTTCCACAAAATAAAAACAACTTTTTCAATAAAGGTCTAAACACACCAGAATTAAGAATTTTTGCCTACGTTTCCTTGCCAGAAGATAAGTAATTCCTCTGTTTTTCTTGCAAGAAATGAATCTGCTTTCAGAAGCGACCTTTTGCCTCTCTGGTTGCTGTACTTACACAGCTACCTCACTTCACATAAGTTAAAGATCAAAACGAAAGCTATATGAAGACACGGGCTGCATTACTTTATGTATTTCACAAGTTCTGAAAAAAAGTGAGATGTTGTCTAGCAAGAAGCAGAACAAACTAAAAGAGTAAGTGTCGCAGGGGCAGGGGGACCGGAAGGGAGCCCAGCATGCTTCTGGTCGCTCAGGTAAAACAGAACTTTGGACACAAAGAACACTCAAGTACTCTACAGACAAAGTAAGGTCAAAAAATAAGAAAGATAACAGGTGTCCAGATGCACAACACGTGAAGAGACAGAGCAAACTGGGCACAAAAGAGGAGTGGATACCCTGCATCCTGACACTCCTCTGACTTTGAATTAAACTCTACATGGAAAGAAAAATCAGTCAGTGAGGAAGGATGTAAACAATAAAACTGTATCTACAAATGCTATATTCTAATGCTGAAAATCAAGTACAAAATGTAGCTAAACACACCTCACCTCTAACTGCCCCATCCTCAGTAACCAAACTAGTACATAACTACATAGATATATGATTATAAGAAGCAAATAAGCAAAGGACCAAAAGCAGAAAAGATGACAAGCCATCAGAAGAAAGTCCTATGCATATGAACAATTAGTATGGGAAGTATATTCACTTCAAGTAATCAACTTTTAATCTCGATCTACCTTTCTTCAGCAACTTCAAGTTTAAACTAAGTGCTAATCTCCACATTTTAAATTGCAAATTACTTTTCTAAATCACTTAACAAATATCCTTGAAATTTCACATCAACAGCTCATTAATATCTACTGTAAATGTAGCTCTCCGAAAAGAACCACAGATTTTACGTTTATTGAGACAGATAGCTGGCACAGAGAAATAGAGCTCCTTCAATTACTATTTGGCAGAAGCTAACTTTAGTTCAAAATCCTTCTACAGGAATTTATGGCAACACTGCAGTGAAGTGACTATTTTGAATAAGATTAGCTACTGTTGATGGTGATGCTTGGACAGTGTCTATAAATCAAACTTAGAACTTAGTATTTTATAATGGGCCACTTCAAAACCATCTTCCATAATCACCTATGCAGTATATTATGATAAATGCAAACATGGTTGGAGATTAAAAGTAATACAACTATGTACACAAGGTAATGAGTGCAAGCAAACTATAAACAAAGTCTTTATCCATATACATTTTCTATACTTGTCCCTAACTTACCTCTGACATTTGTAGAGAACACAAGGTTAACCTAAGTAACACACCTGACACCAACAAGTATTTCAGCAACCCCAAATCCTATTTTCTTATATGCTGAGAAAAATGTAAACTCACGATCCTTCAAGAAGGGAACAACATATGTTGTTAAAAAGTGATATTCTGAATGTTAACAGATTTTTTGTTGATGAATTTTCAATTATACTGTTACGCCAGTAAAATGAAATTTGAAAATTCATCTAGAAATTAGTATATTAAACTAGACATTTAGTAGACAAAATTAAAATGTTTAATTCAGGTGAATCTCTGGCAAGCTTTCTAAGACTTAACTTTTCACTTAAAATTCAAATGGCATCAGGGTGGGGGTTTTCTGCTGGTTTTGGTAGGCTTTTTTTGCAAGAGTACTAAGTTAAACATGAAAAGCAGATGGCTTGAAACGCTTCCCTATTTATGGGGAAGCGGTTGTACAGTATAAACATTTCTATTTTTTTTCTCAAGATATGGATTCTAGATCACGATTCAGTGAGCACATACACCAATTAAAACGGCAACTATTGACATGAGTGAAGAACACCTTGATTAAGAACACCCTCCCCTGACCTTAGCCTGCACTAGAGTTAGAAAGTGACTCCACAGGAGAAAGGAATCAAATGTGGAAGCTTTCGTTTTCAACATAAAAACAAAAGCAAGTGTGAATGTAAATGAGCATATTTAAGTGAAAACAGTAATAAACAAAATCTGTATTCCACAATTCTAACTGCCTGCTTCTGCGAGTTTTCTGAAAGGCTCTTCATCATAGCTAAAAATAGGCATGGATAAAAGAACTCGAGTTCCAGTGGCTAACTATTATTACAGACTTTGATAGCCAATGAGCATGAAAAATTGAAAAAACGGAAGTGGTTCATTTAACAAAATCTAAGTAGTCTACCAGTAATATATGTATTAAGCTTAAAATCAAAGTGTAACTATTTTATTCATTCTGCATCTGCTTATTCTAAAATAAGGGGTTTAGTATTTTGGTTAGCAATTTAATAGCCAATTTAAGAATTACTGTACCAAAACGTCCAAAATCAACACACCCTTACACATTATGCATGAGGTCTTTATAGTAACCTCAATAAGATCTGCTTGACCTGCATCTAAGCATTCTTTTTGCCTCCACGGCAGAACACTGCTTGCATTTTCCAGTACTTCACTACTACATAGTTGCATATTTCTTTAAAATTATTACAATTTTAACAGCTGTCTTTGTCTCAACTGAATCATTTGTTACATTAAATATGAAGCATCAAGTCCTGCCTTGCTGTGGACTATCCCATTATAATGTAAAATGCTGGAATATTAGTCCACTTAAGGACTTTTTTCCTTACAGTTTCTGGGAGTTTTCCACACGTTCTGAGAGTAGCCCACAGTGCCTGAAGATTCAAAAGACGAGTTCTTAATTCAAACATCTTCCTATTGACAAAAACTACTGACTCTGAAGCGCATCCCCTGTCCTCCACCCAGCCCCAGACAGGAAGCCAGACACCTTGTGGGCAGTGTAACAGCAAACTGAGCAACTGCAAAGCGTATTTTCTGCAGCCATGTCTTGCAAATTTTGAAATCATGCACTATTTAAAATTAAATCTATGAAAAATGAATGGGTCCTTTGAAGGGCTGTAGGCAAAAGAGATTACAGAAATTTAATCCTGAATCGATGATGTTCAGAGAAAACGACCAGCAGAAAGCATATCCCTTTTAAGCTCTTGGTGCAAGGCACAAGAAAAACTGAGAACAAGTATACTGTCTCTGGGAAAAGTCTCTAAACCTAGATGCTGGACACACAGGTGCATATCACAAGAACTTTCATAGAAAGGCACATGCTCAAAAATATGACATAAAAATGAAACACTATGCCACCTCATAGATACCGGCGAACAAGTACTAACGATCGGAGCATCTCAGCTCACAGCACTCTCGCTGCTATCACCACCTCCAAACCACCTGTCACACTCTCTGCCAAAACCCAGCAGGTATCAGCTACAGGTAACGGGTTGCCTGAAACCAGTCTCCACATAGACTTTTACTGGTTATTAGAGAGTTGTGATTTTACAGTTAAACACGTAAGACTTCCCCCCCAACACACACATCAGGTCAAATTTTACCAAATTATACACTTTGGTTGCACGCACAAATATTTAGCACAGCTGAAATGCAGAAATATGTTTAACCTTAGAAAATTATTATGCATTTTAGGCTACGACATTCAGCAGCAGCAGCGCTGCTTAGGTAGTCCTTGCCTGCTGCTTGTGACCCTCTCCCAAAACCACAGTAGCCCAGCAAATTGCATAACTGCACTAACAACGGGACTGAAAAAGCAGCAAGGTGACAGGGAAAAACAAAAATTTAAATGATTGGTATAATCATACCTTGATCTCACATAATGAACTACAGCAGGCACAGTGAGGTGTCTAGCACAGAAATCTCACAAAATACATTGCATTTGTTATCTTATAGAAAAACACAGCAGTACAGTAGCCTCAAAAGCTGCTTAGACATGATCGATCGTCTCAAAAGAGTTATGAGAAAATTATTTAAAATGTTAGATGGGAGAGGGGTATTTTAAGAGTCTGTCTTGGTCACCTGAGGCTGCAGCATTTGATCTCAATCTTGCCTCAGAAACCAGAGCTCTAGACTTGGGTCATGCTACTAAATTTTGCTGAGCAGGTACACAAATAAGCCAAGGTTCAAATATCTTTAATTTTTCTAATAAACAGTGTGCATCATGGTGTACAGTTACAAAGTTTCTAAAAAAAAAAATAAATTTAACTTCGGCTAATTGGTAAAGAGAAGTAATATCAGATGTTGATCTCATGAAAGGATGCAATGAAATATGCTACTCCAAATCCTTCTATTTCCAAGTGCAACAGCAGTACTTTTTGAACGCTCTGATTTCAGTGGTGTTCTGTACTCTTCTTACAAACTAATTTACCATGGGATACAGAGAATATAGCAAACAAAGAGGACTGCTGTGTTCATCTGCCTTATCAGCCAGATTTCACTCCTCTTCCTTTTGATAACAATTAAAATGCAAAAACACTTGCCTTAACTTCTCTAGGCATTGAGAACTGATACAAATGAGATACCAGTAAAACATTTTGTCACTAAGTGATAATGGCTCCGGTAAAAATTCTCATAAAAACAGAATGGGATAATTACTGTCAGGAATGATAACGAAGGGCACTAAACCTGCAACAGTTCCTGTCTGTGTGAAAGAAGGAGCCATCAACAGCATCCTTGACCACATAAGTGATGTTCCAAATTACTCAGCTAGCATGCAAAAACTGCCTGTTCCACTGATGGAAATAACACCCCAAAAATAAGGCAGAGACAGAAGCGTAAGATTACTTGATGCCACATGAACACACACCAGAAGTCCTGAAGGGCACACTGACATAGACACAGATATATTTCTAGCCAGTTTAACTCTTATGAAGGAAAATTACTGGTGTAACTTACGAATCAACATGAAGAACTCTCTGGCCGCTCCTGGCACATGCTGCTGCAACAATAGATTCAGGCAAACCTGAAAGGACACAGGCAACTTTTAGAACTTGGTATGCTAAGCTGTATTAAAAAATGAAATAAAGTTAGAACTTGGTCAGAAGCAGGCAATTCAAACAAAAGGAAGTTTACAATGGGAATCACCGAAATTTTTAATACTCTCATGCTACTAAAATAATGAACACGATTTTGCATTCATTAACATTTTGCTAGGACACTCTGGAATGTGACACTTGTGGGGTTTTTTCGAGTAATTGTAAGGCACGTGTCGCTTGCAAACACTACTACCTCTGAGTTAAAGCTTGTTACCAGTCTCTTCTCTAGACATCTTGTTATCATAAAAAGACTGAGCACTTGCCAGCATGATACCCAGATTTTAATGGGATGATCTGTAAGTGTATCCCTCCTGATACCGACAGGTATTATCTGAGAGCATTTTTGTGTATTTTTGTTCAAAGTGTTTGACATAATGTGAAGACTGTGTAACAACCCATTAAAATGGTGGTTTTAAATTAGGAAATACACAGCAAATGTTGCATGCCCTGGTATATTGTCCAAGGATGCATCGGAAGGGGTGAGGGTATAAACCTGTTGGGATGGCACTGAACAACTGCACACGGCAGACGGAGTACTGCACGGTGCTGTCTCCTCCATATCATCTAGTGACAAACATCTCTAGTGTGAACAGGTCTCACAACTGGATTTGGGCTTTGTTTCTGATTGAACTAATTGGGTTGCTCCAGAAGAGTGCCCAGGCGCACACTCAATATCCTGCATGCAGACCAAGACCCAAGTGTAAACGGCAAAGCTACACTGACAGTGCAGGTGTACTTTCACTTCACATTTAAGGGTAGTGTTAGGGACCGAAGGAACCCGAGATGGTTGTCCTTACAGTGGTAAAGTGGTATCCCTATCAAAACTCCCATGTCACGCAATTACACTCTGTCAAACCAGTATGTTTTCACTTTATTTAGAAAAGATATATAGTAAAAAAGAAAATAGGTAAGAAAAAAAAAAAAGGCTAGTGATATTTCTTCTCTACCAGCAATACATGCTTGGAATGGCACGTGATGCCAACTGGAGGTTTAATAAACAAACTAGGCTGTTCTCTAACTTCCACTCCCACTCACCAGATTTTTGCATGCAGAGCTAGATGACCTGGATTTCTGACCAGATTCAGAAAAGAAGTACAGCTTGCTACCTAAAAGGCTGCATGCCACTAGCTTTGCTGAAACCTCTTTTTAAATGATCTGTTGGCTGTTTAAGCAGGTATTTCAGGAAAAGCAATCAAATTCTAAGTGACTGGTATTAGGAGACACTTAGGCTACATATTCAATTAAGGGATGAGATTGAACAAAGTGAAAGGAGTGTTTCACTGATCTGATTTGCAGCGCAGCGCCAGAAGCAGATGTACTGGTAGAACTGGAGAGAGACAGAACCAAAAGGGGAAAAAAAGCAGATGTCGTAGGGCACAAACTTCTTTGGCTAGCTTCATGCCAGACGTCATCTTCATAAGAATTTCAGGCCTGCAGTTATCTATTTCTAGAGAGAAAAATACTGCCTTCATAAATGAATAAAAGGTCAGCATGTTGCCAATCTGACGATTTATTTAAAACGCATTTTCCACTTACTTAGAGTAAGGAGCTGTTAGACTGAAGTCTAACATTGGGATATTAAGTACAATTTAGCACTCACAGCAACAAAAAAGTTTAAATGATTGAGCTAGCTTTTATTAATTCTAGAACCTGAAATGCAGTCTAGAAAACACTTAGCGGGACTTAGATATGCAAGACCATAGTTCCATGAACTCCTTAAGCCAGCAAACACAAACATCACACTAAAGAGGTTGAATCTCTCTACCCTTATCTTCCTCCATTCCCGACCTGCTTCCACATGAAGTAGATGGTCAGTTTTCAGCAGACCAGTTCCATGACAGTGTTGGCAGTCCAAAAGTACAAACATTTGTATCAGCAAAAGGAAGCAAGCAGGTTTGTTGCGGAAGTGTGAGACTGACCAAAAGTACACTTCAAAAATCAGTTTAATAGCATCAAAATACAACAGTCTAGTTCAACGGAGATCCTGTATTACAAACGCTTCGGCAGACAGAGCTCATTTACAGGTTCTCGATGTCAGCTGGGAGTTAATACTGCATGGTGTGAGGCTAGAACTACTCAAATAAACTTTAATCATAGAAACATGGAATCATTAATGTTGGAAAAGACCTCTAAGATCATCAAGTCCAACCGTCAACCCAACACCACCATGCCTCCTAAACCATGTCCCGAAGTGCCACATCTACACATTCTTCGAACACTTCCATGGATGGGGACTCCACCACTGTCCTGGGCAGCCTGGTCCAACGCCTGACCCTTCCCTCAGTAAAGAAATTTTTCCTAATATCGAACCTAACCCTCCTCTGATGCAACATGAGGCCATAAACAACCAACCTAGCAAAAGGCGGCGAGCGGGTAACTAGGACGACACTCTGACAAATTTAATAAAATTATAAGTCTATCACTGCACAACTACACACAAGAATGGTGGCCCAAAGTGTGCACACGTTCACTCACAACAGGGAAACTCTCACTCAAGGGTACCCAGAAGACAGGATCGCTCACCCCAAGAAGGTGCGAGTGCTCACTCATGGATATCCAGAAAAAATAATCACCCACCGAAAGGGTGAGGGCACTCAGTCCCGGGACGTTTCCATGGATGTCTCAACCCATGGGAAGAGGCCATGATCACAGGCCTGCTGCTCCCGAGAACCATCTCTCTCCGGGCGCTTCTGGTGGGGAGTCCCTTTTATAGCCTGGTCAGATCTGGCCTGTGGTCATTAATGGTCAGAAGTCCAGAAATCTTCCTCAGCGGAGGCAGGTCATTGCCTGTCAACCGAGGAGTCCCGCCTTTCTCTTTCCACCACTGGGGAAAGCTTGTGACCAGGGTCACGGTGTCCCGGCGAGGGGGACACAGTGGTCGGTGACAGGCCGGGGTGAGAAGCTCTGGTTCTTACCAGCGGGTGCACCTGACACAAGGTTTAAGGCAGGCATGGCAAATTTTCCAGGAAAATAGCTACAATGTCCTTGCAAATCTGCTGGTTTTAACATTTACTTTTTTGATGGATTAAAAAAAAAATTTTAAAAAATCCCTTTCTGAGTTGATAAAACAGAGAAAGCTGCAATAGCTTTGCATTGCATTCCACAGCAAGCAAAGACTTACCATGGATTTAGTCTCTGGAAGGAGAAAAGAGGAACTGCATCAGTTCCTGGGACACTGCTTTCACAGCCTAGAAAGGCCAACAGGTAACAGTCACTTCAAAACAGTGCGATGTGGTGTTTCACTGTGGTTTTTTTTTTAAACTTTATATTTCAGAAAGTTGCTATATTGAACCAATTTAGAAATGGAAACCCACTTTCAATGAAAATGCTAAAGTTTTCAGCTCTTTAACACACCAGCAGGTGTTCTGATCCCTTGTTTCAGAGGCAGCACTGCAGTATATGCTGTCTGGTTACTTACAGCAGCTTGGGAAGCCTGAAGTGCTACCACAATGCCAAGATTTCAAAATCAGCACGTCTCAGCTCAGAATGTAATCTTCTGACAACACAAACCACTTGAAAAAATCTGAACATACATGTTCACCACTGAACTAAAGGCATTCCTAGCATTAAAAGCTACTACAAATATAACCTGTATGAAGTAAGACACATATGCTATTTTCTACTCAAAATGCAGATGTAATTTTTGGCAGGAGAAAGAACAAGTGACATTAAATGTGACTAAGAAAACGAGCCCAGCTAACTTTTGAGTGAAGAGAACCTAAATCAATATGTGTTGTAAAGGCCTATGAAATGCCTCTGATAAAGCCTTTAGAGCTGAATTTTTTGAAGCAGGAACTCAAAACAGAGACCCTTCTGAACAAAGAGACAAGAAAAAACACCTTCACTGCAGCACACACTTCAGGACTGTCACCAGATCCCAGATGCACACAGCCTTATTTTGTGAAAGCAACTCCACGTCCAGCTGTCCTCTGAAAGTGCTTATATATATATTTCATTTCTCTCCGTCTATAAACTATCTGGAATAGAATCTACAACTACTATTTTGTTTGTAGTTCCTGAAAAAGGTTTTCTTTCCCTCATTTGGGCACAGAGAATATTACTCTGGAAATGGAATTGAGAAAACTTGTTTCTCCTTCCTTATTGATAAAAGCCACTGAGAAAGTGTTGTAAAGCATCACCAGTGCTGCCTGGCTGACCAGGACTGGAGTTATAGCTGCTAGGGCATAACTGATTGCTTTAAGCTTGATCCAATTGATACCGTGTTGGAGGTCTGTTCTTCCATTAACCTTGGATGAAATTGTTCCCTGAATTAGCTCCCTCGCTCTTGAAAGCTGGCATCAATTTTCTTCACCAACCCTTTGCTCGTAAGATACCGTGGCCCCCCGAGTACCCACTGGCAAAAGAATGAGAAAGTGTAAGAAATGCAAGGCCTACGCATTTCAGCTTTTGGAGAGGCTCTTAGAACAACTTGATGGAGCAAGACACCATTTATTCCTACGTGACAAAATCTTGGTAAACCAAAGAAATATGACTGTGCCTTGGCACCAGTTTCTGAATTCTCTTCTCCAACAGAAATCAAACCACACGGAAAATAGGTAGTCTTGTCAAATGCAAGTTACTCCTACATGTGAGCTGGACTGCATGATGGTTACTTTACAAAAGCCTTTTCCAAGAAAGGCAGCTCCGGTCAACAGACCATTATCATACAACTGCAGATAGCCCCTCTCTACCCAAGAACAAAAATAACTAACTTGGAAAAGCCTCCTTAGAGAAATGGCAGAGATTTATTTAACGATAGCACATGAAGCTGAACTATCTCCTACAGGATGCCCACACGGGTATGCAAAATCACAGAATCACAGAATGGTGGGGGCTGGAAGGGACCTC